TTTCTATCTCTCTTTCCATCTCCCTTCCTCTCTCTAAAAAAATCAATAAAAACATATTTTAAAAAATAAACTCATCTTCCAATTATAAAAAAAGAACACTAACAAGTATGTGACCTTGAGAAAGTCACCTATCCTCTTTGGGGTTTCCTATTCTGATCATTCAAATAAAGAACCGATAATTCAATAATAAAATTATCTTCTATCAAGCATTTTATATGGACACAGTTTTGTGTTAGCAAGTGCTTTATTTACATGTCATCTATTTTTTCTCATAAAATCAGTTGTTGCAGTTATTTTCTTCATTTTATAGTAGACTAGAGGCCCGGTGCACAAAAATTTCTGCACTCGAGGGGGTCCCTCAGCCCGGCCTGTGCCCTCTGGCACTCTGGGACCCCTCGGGGGATGACCACCTGCTGGCTTAGGCCCGCTCCCTGGGGGATTGGGCCTAAGCTGACAGTCAGACATCCCTCAGGCAGCCCAGGAGCTCTCGGGGGATGTCCACTTGCCAGCGGGGAGCAGGCCTAAGCTGCAGTCGGACATCCTTAGCGCTGCTGAGGAGGCGGGAGAGGCTCCCACCACCACCACTGTACTGGCAGCCGTCAGCCTGGCTTGTAGCTGAGCAGAGCTCCCCCTGTGGGAGCACACTGACCACCAGGGGACAGCTCCTGCATTGAGCATCTGGCCCCTGGTGGTCAGTGTGTGTCATAGTGACCAGTCATTCCCGGTCGTTCTGCTGTTAGGGTCAATTTGCATATTACCCTTTTATTATATAGGATAGAGGCCTGGTGCATGGGTGGGGGGCCGGCTGGTTTGCCCTGAAGGGTGTCCTGGATCAGGGTGGGGGTCCTGCTGGGGTGCCTGGCCAGCCTGGGTGAGGGGCTGATGGGGGTTTGCAGGCTGGCCACACCCCCTTCAGGGTGGGGGTCCCCACTGGGGTGCCTGGCCAGCCTGGGTGAGGGGCTGATGGCTGTTTGCAGGCTGGCCACACCCCCTTTAGGGTGGGGGGTCCCCACTGGGGTCCCTGGCCAGTCTGGGTGAGGGGCTGAGGGCCGTTTTCAGGCTGGCCAAGCCCCCCCCAGCGACGGAAGCTCCCAGCCTCTCCTTTTTTTCTTTATTATTTTTTTTTATTCTGGGATTTATTTACCTTCTATAATTGAAACTTTGTAGCCTTGAGAGGAGCTCAGAGCTGGTCAGGGCGGGCAGGAGGGAAGCTTGGCTTCCTCCAAGCCTCCTGCTCGCTCCAGCTCGGTGGCCACGGCCGGCTGAAAGCAGGTATCTGGGGTTTATTTACCTTCTATAATTGAAACTTTGTTGCTTTGAGTGGAGCTCAGAGCCGGCCGCGGCAGGCGGGAAACTTGGCTTCCTCCATCATTGGGGCAACCAAGCCTCCTGCTTGCTCCAGCTCTGTGGCTGCCGACTGCCATCTTGGTTGGGTTAATTTGCATATAGTTGCTTTGATTGGCTGGTGGGTGTGGCTTAAGGCATAGTGAAGGTACAGTCAATTTGCATGTTTGTCTTTTATTAGTGTAGATGTAACTGAAGTATAGAAGGGTGAGTGGCTTGGTGAGGTGACTTGGGCAATAAATGACTAAGTTAGATTTCAAACTCAGGCATTTCAGCTATAAAACCTATTTCTGGAAATATTGTTCCAGGCTTTATATGAGAAGCCAATGCCCCCCATAAACGGTATAATTCTTTGATATTAAAGATATTACAATAAGAACACTAATGCTAAAAAATAGCATATGGGCTATAATTGAGCCACTTTATACAAGGAGATTTTATGTGCAAATTACTGTTGTCAAAGATTTAGCAGAAAATATGTCCTGGTATTATCATCCTCTGCCCTTTGGGAAATCAATGAACTAAACTGGTGTGATCCTGCAGATTGGAGACTTTAGAACCTTAGAGAAGATTTCCCGGGAAGTCAAGTCGATTACGATTATCGGTGGGGGCTTCCTTGGTAGTGAACTGGCCTGTGCTCTTGGCAGAAAAGGTGAGTATTGGGGGTGACCTCGATTTTCTTCTCTGGTCTGATATCACATGACTAGTTCTGATGAGGGATCCTTTAGTGACCACAAAGCTGCCATTTGAGCAACCGAGCAGCAGTGCTTTCTTTCTTTTTTAAAAAAATTTCTTCATTGATTAAGTTATTACAAATGTGTCCTTATCCCCACATTACCCCACATTACCCCCATTCATGCCCTCACCCCCCTGTTGTCTGTGTCCATTAGTTAGGCCTATATACATGTATACAAGTCCTTTGGTTGATCTCTCCCCTTATCCCCACCCTCCCCTACCTTCCCTCTGAGGTTTGACGGTCTGATCGATGTTTCTCTGTCTCTGGGTCTGTTTTTGTTCATCAGTTTATGTTGTTCATTATATTCCATAAATGAATGAGATCATGTGATATTTATCTTTCTCTGACTGGCTTATTTCACTTAGCATAATGCTCTCCAGTTCCATCCATGCTGTTGCTCTAGGAATATATCCCAAGAAACTAGAAACACCAATTAGAAAGGATATATGCACCCCTATGTTCATAGCAGCACAATTCACCATAGCTAAGATTTGGAAACAGCCTAAGTGCCCATCAGCAGATAAGTGGATTAAAAAACTGTGGTACATCTACACAATGGAATACTACACTGCGGTAAAAAAAAAAAAAGAAGAAGAAGAAGAAGCAGTGCTTCCTTTCCTCTAGCCTCCAGGCCAAAATTCCTTAGAAATAAAATATTAAGCAAAGTGAGTTATTAAGATGGTAAGGGCAGTGTAAATTGCAGAAGTGTACATATCTTTGAACTGCTGCTCCCTGTAAAAGTCAAAAACTTTCTTCAGACACCTGCAGCATGTTCCCAACATGATATATCTGTGAGTTCTGTCTTGAATGTTTCATGGCAACCATTTTTCTTAAGCTGTGTAATATCAGAGCATCTTCTCAGGGGGGTGCTCACTATTCAGAGGTCTCGAGGCACTTGTGTAAGCCTGAGGTGAGGCCTGGGTGCAAGTGCGCTGAGTTGAGAGTATGGAGTCACATCCAGGGACAGCAGTTCTGGCACCTTTTGTATTTTCTTTGTGAATGCCCTCATGCCCCAGTGCTCCACAAATGGGAGCTCTGGCCTGAGTCAGAACATTGTCCTTTCCATATTAAATGGCCACCTGTCTGTTGGTCCTTTACTTCTCTTCCAGTCTTAGGGCTGGCTTTTGTCTCCTGCTAAACCTACTCTTTTTTCTTTTTCTCAGCTCAAGTCTCAGGCACCGAAGTGATTCAACTCTTCTCTGAGAAAGGAAATATGGGAAAGGTCTCTCTTGAATATCTCAGTAATTGGACTCATGGAAAAAGTCAGATGAGGTAGAGGGACTCTTTCCATATGCTGCCACTCTTTCCTTTGATTCAGGCCTAATGCAATGTTTGCTTCTTTGGGAACCCCTTTGACATAAACCATATCACCAGGCAGATGAAATGTTTCCACCATTCTCCAGTCAGCCAAGTTCATGCAGGTTCTGAATCTGATGCACCAAATTCCTGGAAGTGCTGAAAATGAACTACGAGTATAGGTTATGTGTGGCTCTCCAAGGCTGCCTTCATACTGATGATTACTAGTTTTGTGACATTGTGCCTCTCTCTAGTCAGTTTCCCTATTTTTTCATGAAATTGGTAGGCTCACCGGCTCAGCTTCAGGTCTTCTTTGCCTTCACAGAGGGTGTGAAGGTGCTGCCCAATGCCATTGTGCAATCAGTTGGAGTCAGCGGTGGCAGGTTACTCATCAAGCTGAAAGATGGCCGGAAGGTAAGGAGGGGAAGACAGGCTGCCAGAAGACCTTCTAGCCCTTCCCTCCCCTTTCCTCATTCTTACTCCTTCATTTGATACCAGCAGATTAGTTTTCTTGGCAGCCACCACTAAACGGTCATGATTTTCTGAATGAACTGTCCATGCATTAAAATAAGAATGGTGAGAGCCAGAGTAAACACCTGTGACCCACTTTCCCATTGCCCCTTCCTATCACATCACAGATTTTTGAGACCTGACTAGGGTGACAGATTTATCTTCAAGTGATATGGGATATGTGGACAGGGGGACTTTATGAAATAGAACTTAAAATATGTTTACCAGAGCCCAGCCAGCTGGCTCAGTAGTTGAGCATTGACCTATGAACCAGGAGATCATTGTTCGATTCCTGGTCAGGGCACAAGCCCGTGTTGTGGATTCGATCCCCAGTTTGGGGCATGCAGGAGGTAGCCAATCAATGATTCTCTCATCATTGATGTTTTTATCTCTTTCTCCCTTCCTCTCTGAAATCAATAAAAAATGTACATATATATAAAAAATCTGTTTACCAGAGGTAAGTTAACCAATGATTTTTTTTGTAAACCCCCACTTCTTAATGACATCACATGCAGTTGCTATGTCCATAGGCATACATGGAAACTGATAACCAAATTATTTCTCTTTTCCCTCAGGTAGAAACTGACCACATAGTGGCTGCTGTGGGCTTAGAGCCCAATGTTGAGTTGGCTAAGACTGGTGGACTAGAAATAGACTCAGATTTTGGTGGCTTTCGGGTAAATGCAGAGCTCCAAGCACGCTCTAACATCTGGGTGGTAAGTATGCTACAGCAAGACCAGGCATGGTTCCTTGTCCCCAGCCTAGGAGCAAGTCTGCCTGGTGGGGTGCTAAAGCTCATTAGTAGCTTACCACAATAGGATCGGAGTATTTGGAGGCCAAGAGTAGAGAACAGATACTTATGAACTGCTTGCTTTACAAGAACAAGTATGGTCTCATGCTGCAAACTAGTGGAGAAGGAAATGAACAGTGTGCATACCTACAGAACTAGAGCTCTTCCGGTACTGTTGGCAGCAGCCATTGGCATCACCCTGGCGGGCGTGTGCATGGCTTTCAGAGTGATCTGCTGTTCCCTTTGCCTGAACATGAGTCCAAGGAATGGAGAATGAGGCAATTTGATGACATTCTCTAGAAAGGAAAATGACTCCAATTTCATTTTTTTTAGAACTATTTTTAGCTGTTTTTAAAAATCTGTTGTGGCACAAACAAGACTATAGTATGTAGGAACCATGAGGTAATTTCCCCGTTGTTAGATCATTACAAATGTATTGTGTTTGATTATGGACTCTACAGCAGAGGACATAGGAACATTAAAAGATGTTTTCCCTTCAAGCTTTTTTTTTAAAAAAAGATAAAGTATACTGAGTTTTTTTTTTAACTTGTTATAAAAGAAAAACACACTCAATATGGAAGACAGACAAGTAGGAGAAAGGGAAAAATCACCTGCAGCAACCACTGTTTGTGTTGTATAGGTTTTGTTTGTTTGTTTGTTTGTTTATTCTCCTTTTATTTTTTATTTTTTAATCTTTGTTGAAAGTATTACATATGTCCCCCTTTTTTCCCCATTGACCTCTTCTAGCCCATCCCCACCATGTATGTTTTTTTGTGTGTGTATATGTCCTTCCCTTTATTTTCTTGTGCATAGTTTTTTTGTCATAGATGGTCATGGCAGCATACTATGTGTTAATATTTGTATTCTTCTAACATTCTAATGTATTTTCTATATTGCTTCAGATTCTATAAACAGATTAATGACTACATAATATTCCATTAAGTGGATTTCATAATTTATTGCACTGTTGTCCACGTGTTGGTTTTTAGGGAAGTCTTTGGGGGAATCTGAATAGCCACAAAGGTGAGCAAACATTAGAGAGTTCATATACCACCTGCTTTATGAAATTGGCCTCGTTTACCTCCAGCCAAGGGTTCTCCATCCGTGAAACACTGAGCTCACTTGATTTGTACCTCTCACATGGCACATTTCTTGTTTGTATTGTGAGGAGCAATGCTATACCTTCCTCAACTAGGTTATACACTCCTTGTGGGCAAGGTCTCTGCCAGATTTGTCTCAGCAACCCAGACAGTATAATGCTTTGTACAGAAGAAAGATTCCATAAATATTTGTTGAATGAATGAATGAATACCAAATAACAAAAAAAATCTTATCTTCAAAAAGATTTCTAGGTAAGAGGCAGTCACATCTAAAAACTGGTTTCCACACATAGGAAAGAATATTCTGCAAATTGCGGTTATTAAATACTAGAAGCCCGTTGCACGAAGATTCGCACAATAGGCCTTCCTTCCCCTGGATGCTGGCACCGGTTTTCCTCCAGCACCCAGGACCCAGGCCTTTGGTTCAGCCGCACCGGAGAAGCCAAGCCTCGGGGCTAGGCTTCTCCACTGCGGCCGCCAAGCCTCTTCAGTCTTCAGTCTTCAGTCTTCGCTCCACGCCTGTGTGTGCAAATTAACCGCCATCTTTGTTGGGTTAGTTTACACAGTCACTCTGATTGGCTGGTGGGTGTAGCGGAGTGACACAAATTTGCATGTTTCTTTTTATTAGTGTAGATTCTGCCTCTGTTAAGGGCAGAATGAGAAGAAATAGGTATGTGCTAGAGCATAGAAGGTTTAAGATAACTTCATGGAAACATAGAATAGTTTTTAAAAATGGAATTTCAGCTATTTTTTATAGTGTATATATGATTCTAGCTTGTAGATAGAACTATTAATTAGTTGATGTCACAAGCATTTTTGAACCCCAAAAGTTTATGTTCTGTCTTTAACTTGCTTTTTCTTTTTAATAATGTGCTCATGTAATGTATTTGTCTCCAAAGGCAGGAGACGCTGCATGCTTCTACGATATAAAATTGGGTAGGAGGCGGGTAGAGCACCATGATCATGCTGTTGTGAGCGGAAGATTGGCTGGAGAAAATATGACTGGAGCTGCTAAGCCATACTGGCATCAGTCAATGTTCTGGTAATAGTTCTGTGCCTTGGGGACTCAACTGGTTAGAACACAGAATTAATGGAACCAGAGTTATGGTTTGGTTTCCTTGTGGGTCAGTTAGCTTTACATGGGGTGGGTTGCGGGGATTCCTTCTCATGTCCACACATTCTACTCCAGATCAGCCTTCTGGTAAAAGGGTCCCATTTGGCATAGCTTAGACCAGTGGTCGGCAAACTCATTAGTCAACAGAGCCAAATATCAACAGTACAACGATTGAAATTTCTTTCGAGAGCCAAATTTTTTAAACTTAAACTATAAGGTAGGTACATTGTTATTAACTTAATTAGGGTACTCCTAAGGCTTAGGAAGAGCCACACTCAAGGGGCCAAAGAGCCGCATGTGGCTCGCGAGCCGCAGTTTGCCGACCACGGGCTTAGACTATGTGAATGAATGGAGAGGGCATTGGCACTTCCTATTAAAATAGCTCAGAATTCAAACAATAGTAGGTGGTACAAAAGTGTACTGTTTAGGTGTAGACAGCTGTATATTTTAATTTGTTCTTTGCTGCTAACCCTAATGAGCCTAACAGGCTGACAAAAAAGGCAGCCTACTCATCTGTAACCCTTAAGATAAAGAGTTCAAAGTCAGGTGTATATAGATAGTTCTCTGGGTAGCAAAAACTTACCAATGGACATTCCTGAGTACTGGGGCAGGCCCTGTTTGGCACACTCTCATCCTGTTGATTTGAAAGATGGGGTACTTAAGAAACTTCAAGGTTTCAGAAACCTCTAAGGGAAATTCTCAACTGAGAGAATACATTTTAGGATGATCACACCCAGTTTTCTGAGTGGGCAACAAAAACATAACAGATGGATTTCAGGGTCAATACATATAAGACAGTGCAGTTAGGAAAAAAATAGTCCACAGCTATTCAATTATCAGCTAGGTCCCAGGAACAGAAAACAAGAAGTCATTGTAGACTGTTCCCTGAAGACACCAGTCCAATGAGCTATGGCCAAGAAGATAACAAAATGTAGAGGACCAGAAACAGAACAGCTCAAGCACCCTAGATGATTACACACCATGGTGTGTCTGTGCTGCAAATATTCTGTGAAGTTCCTAGCATATTAAGAACCATACAATGGTGATAGGGAAACTTTCCAAGAAGAACAGTTAAATTGACCCACTAGGTGAAGGTACCCCTTTATAGAAAGCATTCTGGCCTTGAAAAATGAAGGCTAAGATGGAAAACTGTCAGTTAATGAAACCATGAAATATTCCTGATTCCGAATTCCATAAATATGGATCACTCTTTAAAACTTCTAAAAGGCAGTCTTAGGATGAGTTAAAGAAAGGTAGTGAATAGTAAATGTGGGAACCCATCACTCCCCTAATATGGTATGGGATAAAAGCATGAGTAAATTGAAGAAAGTGTAGAATGTTGTGTGGATATGTGGTAGTATAATGGCTTCTTAAGGAAAATAAAAGTTGCTTAGGAGAACCATGCTTTTTCACAATTGTTCCCAAGTGCCCTAGCAGGAGATAGATCAATTAGGCATTTCTCTCATTGTCACACATAGCAAGTTCCTTGGTTGGCATAAAGTGTGGTGTCTTAGAGAAAATGTTCTACTGTGTCATTCTTTACAGTCCCATCACAGAGCAACCTCTTCTCTCTTCTTCCTTAGGAGTGATTTGGGCCCTGATGTTGGCTATGAAGCTATTGGTCTTGTGGATAGTAGTTTGCCCACGGTTGGTGTCTTTGCAAAAGCATCTGCACAAGATAACCCGAAATCTGCCACAGAGCAGTCAGGTAAGGACAGCCAACCACTTCTCTCAGCACGGCACAGTGGTTGAGCATTGACCTATGAACCAAGAAGTCATGGTTCCATTTTCGCTCAGGGCACATGCCCAGTCGGGGGCATGCAGAAGGCAGGCCAATCAATGATTCTCCCTCATCATTGATGTTTCTTTCTCTCTTCCTCTCCCTTCCTCTCTGAAATCAATAAAAATATATTTAAAATAAATAAACCAAACCCAAAGTCCTCACTCTTTAGTGGTTTGAGATGGCAAAATCAGGTATCCTGGTCAATGCATAGGCATAGATATTGTAGGTCTTCATCCTAGACTCTGGACAGTGGCTATCTCAGCTACTCTGTTTAGTTTGTCTCTAGAGAATAGGAAGACTTGCCTGATAAAGGAAACCTAAACTTGTTAGCTGTTTTTGTTTTGTTTTTTGTTGTTTTTTTTTTGTTGTTGTTGTTTAGGGCCTGCAATTCTCCATGGACCCTGGGTAGTGGGAACTGAGCTGAGTAATTCTTGAGTTGCCTCTAATTCCATTTATCAGATCTTAATGCCAGGTTTTCTTTAGATGGGAGGCAACTCTCTTGGAATGAATTTTTCTCCCCCACACATCTTTCATTAACTCCCAGGCTTATTCTCTCTCCCTTTCATGACCTTGGCTGAAGTTATTTAATGTCCATGTCCTCTTGTCAGAGGTGTTTCAAGGACAAGTTGCTCTTTAAGAAGGAGAAAACAAAACATTATATGGATACTAGAGGCCTAATGCATGGAATTCTTGCACAGGTAGGGTCCCTAGGCCTGGCCGGAGATCAGGGCCGATCTGTGGGGTGACCAGCGGGGCGGTCAGGAGGCCCCCACTTGCACCCACCCTGGCTGGCCTGGCACCGGCCCTGCCACTGCCGGTCGACTCCCTCTGTGGGGTGACCACTTGGGCGATTGCGAGGGGGCCCCTGCTGGCACCCACCATGGCTGGCCTGGCGCCACCCACTTGCGGGCCCCGCCCCCCCCCACCAACCAGTCGCTCTGCAGGTCATTCAGCCATTCATTGATTTGCATATTAGGCTTTTATTATATAGGATGTAGGTCCTTTTTCTGTGTAATCCAAATTGATTACATACACCCACTCCTTAATCTGACCTCTCCTGGGAAGTGGATCCAGGAGAGGGACCCAAGGACTTCTCAACTCCAGGTCACTACTCTGTCCACTGGTCAGTATTACTTGGAACCTGGTTATTCTCAGAAGACACGGTGCCCCCCCCCTCCATGCCGCCCCCTGTCCCCCCCACTCCCGCCAGGAGAAAACACCTCTACTGTGGTTTTTCCATATGGAAATGCCTTCTGCTTTGTCTAGACCCGTGGTCGGCAAACTGCGGCTCACGGGCCACATGGGGCTCTTTGGTCCCTTGAGTGTGGCTCTTCCTAAGCCTTAGGAGTACCCTAATTAAGTTAATAACAATGTACCTACCTTATAGTTTAAGTTTAAAAAATTTGGCTCTCAAAAGATATTTCAGTCATTGTACTGTTGATATTTGGCTCTGTTGACTAATGAGTTTGCCAACCACTGGTCTAGACTGTCTTCCTAGTGGCACTATACAATAGATCTTTTCACTCTAATAGCATCATCTGTCTCTGCTCTCTTCAATACATTAGCCACTAGCCACATGTGGCTGTTTAGCACTTGAAGTGTGGCTACTGCAAATGAACTGAATTTTTCATTTTATATCATTTTAATTAAAATATTTAAAAACTTAATTAATTTTTAATTAGAATAGCTATATGTGGCTAGTGGCTACTGTACTGGACCATGCAACTCTAGAATGTTTCTCAGAGGACAAGAGCAAGTCTTGCAATTTGAAGAAATCCAGATGTCAGGAAATATCCATAGTATAAATTTAAAGTGAGCCCAGCTAGTGTGGCTCCGTGGTTGAGCGTCAACCTATGACTCGGCAGATCACAGTTTGATTCCAGGTCAGGGCACATGCCCGGGTTGCGGGCTCAATCCCCAGTGTGGGACATGCAGGAGGCAGCCAACCAATGATTCTCTCTCATCATTGATGTTTCTATATCTCTCCCTTACTTTCTGAAATCAATCAAAAATATATTTAAATAAAATAAAATAAGATAGGAAGGGAGGGAAGTTTTGGGTCAGACTGATGCAGTGCCCAGGAGCTGACAAAGAAGAGCTTTCATTGCTTTTGACAATGAAGAGGGGCTGAAAAAGGCCAATGTTTACTGAGAGGGCATAGAGAAATCATCTAAAGCAGCTTAAAGCAGGTGTCAAAAGAGACTTCTAGAATTTTCCAAGCTCATAATAACTGTTTTGTTTCGGTTTGTTTGTTTGTTTTGGGGGTTGGCTACAGGGACTGGTATTCGATCAGAGAGTGAGACAGAGTCAGAGGCCACAGAAATCCCTGTTCTTCCAAGCAACCCTGGGGTCCTCCAGGTCCCTGTCGAAGGGGAGGACTACGGGAAAGGTGTTATCTTCTACCTCAGGGACAAAGTGGTGGTGGGGATCGTGCTGTGGAACATCTTCAATCGAATGCCAATAGCAAGGAAGGTAAGTGCCTTTCAGAGCTCCTAGATCAGTGGTTCTCAACCTGTGGGTCGCGACCCCTTTGGGGTCGAACGACCCATTCACAGGGGTCGCCTAAGACCATCGGAAAACACATATATAATTATATATTGCAGTGGTTCTCAACCATGTGGGTCGCGACCCCTTTGGGGGTCAAACGACCCTTTCACAGGGGTCCCCTAAGACCATCGGAAAACACATAGATAATTACATATTGTTTTTGTGATTAATCACTATGCTTTAATTATGTTCAATTTATAACAATGAAAATACATCCTGCATATCAGATATTTACATTACGATTCATAACAGTAGCAAAATTACAGTTATGAAGTAGCAACGAAAATAATTTTATGGTTGGGGGGTCACCACAACATGAGGAACTGTATTAAAGGGTCGTGGCATTAGGAAGGTTGAGAACCACTGTCCTAGAGGAAGATGGGAGGAGCAGCCGGAATACACTCCTGTGATTTCATCAGGTGCCCTGGTCAGGTACTGTTTGACCAGGCACCCAGGTCAGATTGTACCTGAGCAGAACAAAGAGGCAGCCTTGGCTCAGGAATATTTCTTTTTCACTCGGGATCTGGCTGGGTGGTCCCGGAGTTGGCACATGCTCATTTGGGGTTGGTAGAAAGCTGTTCCCACAACTCCCTCCCAGTGTGATTGGGGACTGGCCCAGGCTGCCCCATTGTACAGCCCGGCCAGATTGCACGTGGAGTGTTAGTGACCCACTGTTCCTCTCTCCCTCAGATCATTAAGGATGGTGAGCAACATGAAGATCTAAATGAAGTAGCTAAACTATTCAACATTCATGAAGACTGAAGCCCCCCAGTGGAATAAGCAAGCACTTTGCTGTCCCTGACAGCAGTTTGGATGATTAAAGGAGCATTTTTTTATTCCTCCGTGTGTATGAGTGTGAATGATCATGTCCCTTGTGAATATTTCAGCGATGTAGGCATATTCTTAATGTTCACATTACTAAATAAAACCTGATTCTTCTAAATTAAATTGTGCTTTCTTTGCAATGGAGTGGGTAGGTGAAGGGAGGAAAGCCATGCATATCAGAGAACAAGAAGATTGGAGCTACTACCAAGTGCATGATTTTTCTCAGCCTTGTATTCCCTGCTCCACACTCTAAACTCCTTTCAGTTCTCCCAAACTTCTCTCTCGCCCCTCCAGACCTCTCTGTGTGCACTGGCTGTGGTCTGCCCACAGCGTTTGACCCCTTCCCCCTCTTGGGAAGGTCCTAGTCTCTATGAAGACTTTCCTTGCTCAGCCAGCATGCTCAGTGGTTGAGCATCAACCTGTGAACCAGGAGGTCACAGTTAAATTCCCGGTCAGGGCACATGCCTGGGTTGCAGGCTCAATCCCCAGTGTGGGGCATGCAGGAGGCAGCCAATCAATGATTCTCTCTCATCATTGATATTTCTATCTCTCCCTCTCCCTTACTCTCTGAAATCAATAAAATTATTTTTAAAAAGATTTTCCTGACCCTTCTAAGCCCGCTCCTTTCTTATGTCTCCCTGCTGGTCTGCCACTTCCTGGAAGACAAAATCATGGCTTTAATATCTTGATCTTGGTTATATCTCCAGAGCTTAGCATAGAGTCTGGCTCACATAGGTATTTAGTAAATCACTGTTGAAGGAGTGAACACATAAACATATGGGATAGATTCTACCTGGAAAAACACCTGTATATACTACCACCGCCCTCCCAGAACTGCATTGGTCCTGCGGGGGATCAAGAAGGGAGGCAGAAAGGACATTTACTGCAAACAGAGACAAGGGTTCAGAGACCTGGTATTTCATGGTGAAACCTGGAGACTAACTCCTTGAGGGATCATGATCTCTTGACTTCTCCACCTACTCTCCCCCAAACTAGAAATATGCCCTCTCCTAACCCCTTTTATCTAAATAGGCTTATAGGCATACCTCACTTTATAGATGGTTTCCTGGGGATAGAAGTCAGAGTGTCCTAAGTCAATTCATTTTTTGCATTTCAATTTACTTTTAAAAATCAAATCTACCCTAGCTAGTTTTGCTCAGTGGATAGAGCATTGGCCTGCGGAGTGAAGGGTCCCAGGTTTGATTCTGGTTGCAGGCTCAATCCATGGCCCTGGTTGGGGTGGGGGTGGGAGGCAACCAATCGATGTGTCTCCCAATCGATGTGTCTCATATTGATGTTTCTCTATGTCTCGCCCCTTCCTTCCACTCTCAAAATCAATAGAAAAAAATGTCCTCAGGTGAGGATTAACAAAACAAAAAAAAATCAAATTTTATTTAAATCAAGAGGAAATTTTTATCATTTTCCAGAGTCCAGTGTGAATCTTTTTTTAAAAATATATTTGATTTCAGAAAGGAAGAGAGAAACATCAATGATGAGAGAGAATCATTGATTGGCTGCCTTCTGCACAACCCACATTGGGAATCGAGCCCAAAACCTGGGCATATGCCCTGACAGGAATCGAACCAGGACCTCCTGGGTTCATAGGTTGATACTCAACCACTGAGTCTTGCCAGCCAGGCCAATGTGAATCTTTTTGTAAAGAGAAAATTATGACCACTCTGGATTTTTTTAAATATTGATTTTGTTTACCGGGAGTTGCAACTACAAAGAAATCCCCTTTGAACATTAGAATGGACCAATGTCCACTTTATAAATAACTGCACTAGAACAATTTTTACTATATATACACACACACAGGTTTGGTGAAATATAACCTGACACATGACATTTCCAAATCCATCAGTAGGAAACTCACCTAGTATCCTATGAGATAGGGCTCATTATCTATATTATAAAAACCCAGTGGCCCTAACACATAACAACCAAAGACCAGCACAGGTGGGCGGGGCTGAAAGCGTGGCAAGGCAGCACGGGTGGGTGGGGCCATGCGATTTTGCGCTCTGGGCTTCTAGTACAATAATAATTATTGCTTACAAAGATGATGGTAGGACACTCTTAAGTTCCTGAAGTGTTTCACAAATCATTTAAAAAAAAAACATGAAGTTGTGATTTACCTTGTTTTAGCATTATGTGTAATTTAGTGTAATTCTTTGACCGTTGTGATCCTTATATGGAATGTCATAATTCAGTTTGTTAAATAAAATGATCTATCCATCTAATCAATGTTCATTGAGTGCCTACTATGAGACAGGAAGATGTCAGAAGAGGAAAAGGAAGAAAACATGGCCACTTAAGGAACTCCTGGTGTCAGTGAGGCAGGCAAACGTGAGCGCAGAAGTATAATATAGTGACGTGTTCATAGAAAGACAAAGTACTGTGGACACACCAAAAATGGATATCAACCAGAGCATCCATCCTTAGTCAACAACTGCTGCTAGATCACTTCCTAAAGCATCAGTCAGTTACGTCTCCCCTTGTTGAAGAACATAATGACTCCCCGTCACCAACCACATCAAGTTCAAAGTCTTCCATAGTGCTCCTGATCTCAGCCCATTTTGCCTTGTCCAGCCTCCTTTCCCATGACTTCATACACACGTGTGCATGCACACATACACATCTGGTTATCGCCACCTTTAAATTTTTGTTCATGCTCTTCACATCTGGAACACCATCCCTATTCCCTTTTACCTATCCAGATCCTGCTCATCTTTCAAGGCCCAAATGAAATCCCACTTTGGTGTCGTGGTAATAGTTGGACTAGTGTCCGTGAATGATTTCATCTCTGAACTCCAATTGCACTTACTGCCTTTGAACTTGATTGTTCTTTAAGTCATTTTCTGCATTACTAGTGGTCACTGCCTAAAATTGATTGTAAGCTATCCCAGAGCAAAGACTTTTTCTCAAGACAGGAACAACATGCCCCCCCCCCCAAAAAAAAAAACCACTGGCAAATGCTGAGCAAGTACTTGGTTGCTTGGTTGGATGATGCTAGATAACAGGGCTTACTGTAAAAATAGGCCTCTGCCCTGGCTGGCGTGGCTCAGTTGGTTGGGCATTGTCCTGTGCACCAAAAGGTTGCCGGTTCGATTCCTGATCAGGGTACATGCCTGGGTTGCAACTGGATCCCCAGCAGAGGGGACATGTGGGAGACAGCCAATCAATGTTTCACTCTCATATCAATGTTCCCCTCTCTCTTCCTCTCCCTTCCCATCTCTCTAAAAATCAATTAAAAACAAAAACAAAAATGAGCCGCCCAGCCAGTGTGAATCAGTGACTGAGTGTGGACCTATGAACCAAGAGGTCCCAGTTCGATTCCCGGTCAGGGCACATGCCTGAGGTTGCCGGCTCAATCCTCTGTGTGAGGCATGCAGGAGGCAGCCGATTAATGATTCTCTCTCATCATTGATATTTCTATCTTTCCCTGTCCCTTCCTCTCTGAAATCAATAAAAATATATTTAAAAAGAAACAAAGCCTCTGCCTTATAGCCCCCGTTCTCTGTAATCCAAGTTATCAGAGCCCCATCACTTCACCCACTGCTATGACTTGCCACTTACCCCAAGGATCACAGGGAAAGGTTTCTGACTGTACAGATGAGCAGTGCCAGTTGAGGTTTGGCCCTCAATAGCCAGTCTGTAATTAGCTGGGCCACAGCACAGTGCAGAACAGGGCTGGTCACACCCTGCAAAGCAGAGTTGGGGCTCTGCCAAAATATCAAGCGTGTGGAACCCACCCACTTGATTTCAACCTCGCTTTTCTTTGCTGTTTTACAAATGCTATCAGATGGCACCTCAACACCTCTTCATGATGGTACTAGCCTTTGGCCACATGTAAGGCACAGCAGATGTCCTCTTACTTTAGCTGAAGAGATGGGCCCGAGGGAAGGAAGTGTGTTTGATTGGAAAGAGGTCAGAGTAAGCCTCTGTGTGGAGGATGAGGTCAACATATGTGACTTTTCTGTAGTTGTTTTAATTAACAGGGCCTGTTTTGGAGACAAGAGACTTAACGCAGAAAAGGATAGGGGTGGGGTATCCACAGTGACCTACTGCAGGCTGCTTCCTAGAAGGAAAATCAGCTCCTCTAGAGACGCATTTATACAAAGGAACCCTCCCCTCCCTTCCACCACTACCCCTTCCCTTTCCCGCTCCTCTCAAGTTTGGCAGGATCACCTCTGTCCTTCCCTGACTCCACCTAAAGCTGGGCACCCTTGTTGCCCTAGAGATCATTGGGACTCAATCCCAGTGCCTTGCTCCTGAGCAGAGGGGAAGTCCTGTGGGCCCAGAGGTGAAGCAGGACTGCCACTGGCCTCTTTCCCATCTTATCAGGGAACTTCTGGCGGGCTCAGACACATGTACACAAAACCACACACAGAGACACACAGCCCAAGCCAATAATGACGTTCCCCTGACTGGCTGGTTCTACAGATGGGTGTGACTAGGTCAGAGTACAGGGAGGGTCTAAATATTTAGATACTGAACTGCCACGCCATGGTAGGAAAACAGGGATCATCTCAAAATGAACATTCTGAAAAAGAGAAACGCAGCCCCTGACATCCAGAAGCTGACCTGGAATTGTAGGCTAGGCTTTGGTGTTGCTACAAACTGGCCTGGCACTCACGTTAGGCCTGGGTGTTCTACTGAACATAAACAGATTCATGACATTAGCATCTAACAAGGCTGCCCTGACCATGGTGGACCTAGACAAAAACAAGACTACTCCACAATCATGTGTAAACACAGACAAAAACATGAAAATTGCCCAAACCACAGAAATTATCAAATACACTCCCCACTTTCCTGGCTAATCTGAGTGACTGCTGCTTCCTTACCAGTTACAGCACTAGCTTCGCTATAGTCTGCCCTCCTAATGGATAAGGTTTATTTAGGCCAGCCATCGTGCTCAGTGGTTTGACCTATGAACCAGGAGGTCACGGTTCGATTCTCAGTCAGTGCACATGCATGGGTTGTGGGTTCCATCCCCCGTGTGATGCATGCAGGAGGCAGCCAATTAATGATTCTCTCTCGTCACTGATATCTCTCTCTCTCTCTCTCTCTCTCTCTCTCCATTCCTCTCTGAAATCAATAAAAATATATTTTAAAAAGAT